AGCTATGCACGGGTTTATATTTCAAATCAAAATAATATTATATATATATGACTAATAATTTCAAAGAAGTGTATGCTTAATATGTTGAAAAAAATTCAATTTATGAGCACAAAGCAAACTCTTTTAATTTTAATATCCTAAATAAGTTGGAGCAAAAACTTGCTTACTTATTGTCTGTCAATAGCTGAAAACAATTTGAATTAAATAATTTAATCTGTACTGATTTAAATGGTAGAGGAATTGTTAACCCATTTAAGAAGAGGGTCAGATCGGGTGGTAAGGTGAGAAAGATTTCTAAAAAAAAAAAACTATTTATGAATATTTGACGAATGATATCATGTTATACCCATATATCAAAACTTATAATATAAAACTATAAATTATAACCAACTTATTTTTTTTATTTTTTGAAAAAAAAAATTCTCCTATATTGTGCCCCTAATATTAAAATTAGTAATTTTCATAAAATTTAATGTAGATTTCAAAAAAAAAAAAATCTTTGTAATATGTGTTTTTAAAGTTTTCAAAGTTGTTAAAAACCATCATGCTTTCCCACATTCTTACCTATCGGTTGGCTACCAATTGCCTTGTACGATCTTTTTGTACCTTCTACCATAGTGCCAGTTCTCTATTATTTTTTTGTCATCTCTGCCATACCCCTATAATGTCCTTTCTTCTTCTCCCCGTTCCCCACCCATTCTTATAACTTATATTTCATTTTCAACCTTTCCCGCCACTTTTTAATTTCTCACCATTCCCTTCCCCCCACTTTTAGCTTCCTATCCCTCCTACCAAATATATTTAACTTTACATACCATAATATGAAAATCATATAAAATACAAATTGATTACGATGATTGCAATTATTGGTGTCTAAAAATGCAAATGAAAAACTATTAATGTCTTATAATACCCCCAAGTACTACAATATATATATATTTATATATTTATGCTGTGTGTGTGTACGCAAACAAAGCATAGCAATTACATATTTACATATGAAGGCAGCAATCATAAGACTACATAAGATAATCAATGATAACCAAAGCTACCCTTAGCATTTGGGTAGTTTAAATTTGAATCATGGTCAAATTTGAATCAGATAGATGCAAATTAAGTAGTTAATAGTTTAGGGTCAAATGTTCTATATCTTTCTTTTAAACTGTAATGTTATTTCTTTCTAAAATTTTGGTAGAACTGATGTTGTTATTAGTATTATTATTATTCATCAAAAATGAATAGTTCAAATAGAAATTTCCATGTTAAAAGACTAGTTGTAGTTTATTTTTTATTTAGTGATTTCATAATTTAGGTTTCATGAACGGTACCATTCTTGATTTTTTAAATCCATGACTAGTAAATATTATTTCCATTTTGTTGTATACATAATTTTGCCCTTTTAGTTAGGATTATTAAGTTAAAGAATAAAATATTGTTATTTATTTTTTAACTTTTAGTAGGTTTGGTGATGTTTTCTCTTTATTTATCCTTCCAATAATAAACTTCAAACAGAATTCCTATATAAGTGGCGTCACTTCTTACTTATTTAAAGTAAAAAAGGCATGAAAGCATGTTATATTTATTATCTCTTATTATGGTCTTGTGTAGAAGTCTTAAATTTTTTTTGAGCTTCGTAGAAGTCTTAATTGGAGTAAAATGGTAAGTAACGAATGGCAATCAAGAAATGTGATGAGTTGAAATTAATCAAATTAAATTAGTGGCAGAACATGCGCACTAATCAAATTAAATGGTACGAAACATGTATACTAATGAGTTAAAATCGTATTTCAATTGTAAAAGATGACATGCACATCCACAGCAACTAACAATTTGAAATGAAATGATTTTAAAAATAACTAACCATTTCAAATGTGAAGAGTAAATGCGGGAGCTGAGAGAACTATATTTTATAGGCTCAATTAAATGTAAAATGCTAGAAAAAAAAGATTTAGGAATTTGGAGGTGTGTGTGAGAGTTGTTTCTCAAAATCCCTTCTCAAATTTATATAGATATAGATAGTGATTTCTTTATTCCACTTTTCTTTTACATTTTCAAGCCTTTTTCAGACTAATATTCTAATTTATTGATGGCAATGCAGGGATAATTTGAAATTTAAAATATTTATTCTTTTTTGGTTTTAAAATAGTTACTTCTTTTCTTATTTTAAAATAGTTATTCTTTAATATACATTTTAATGTTGATTTTGCTTATAGGGGCTGACTTGTAACATTAAAATGCAAAATAAGGGAGGTAAGAACATTGAGAATGCTAGTGGTACTAGATGAAATCGTCAAAATTCCGAGGAAAAGGTTTTCAAAATTATCCTTTCTAATGTACTCTACTCCTATAATTTTATCATTGGCTGTGTCACCTAAGATAGAAAGAAGGGATAAATTCAGAAACCTACCTCGAGGTTTCTGACAATTTTACTACCTCTTCTGAAAACAAGTATTTCTTCTTCTTTGTTTTTGAGAAGTGACATACTTGGGGGGCGTTTGGTTCAAGTTTAGGAATTGGAATTGTAATTGGAATCATAGACTCTGGTTTTGGAATTAAAACTTTTCATTCCAATATCTTGCTTGGTTCACACATTGGAATTAGCATTATTCCAATTCCTGATGCTTGGTTTGATGAGTGTTTCGGAATTAAATGCAATTAAATTCCAAATTTACCCCTGATATAACAATTCTTCTAAAACAAAAGAATTACACATACGACAAATTAACATTTTCATAATTGTAACTACAATAGTTATTAACTTTTTGATAAAACATAAAAAAATCATAAATAATAAAAAAATTAATACCAGAAAATAAATATAGTGGCTGCATTAACAAGGAGTAAATTCCCAAAAAAAGAAGTTTTTAAACAATCACCCAAAAGGTGACGATTTTTGAGTCTCTTCCCAAAGGGTAAAAAATGCATCCAAGGAATGTGTTCTTCCAAATAAAAATGCAACTTTCAAATACGTTATTTTATGTTTTGGAAATTTATTTAAATATGAAAAATTGGTTAAATAGCCCATAAGATACCAGCTCTTTATGGAAAACTGGCAGGTTTTGTACCAGCTTTATGGAAAAAATTGATTAAATAGTGCCCAAAGGAAAACTAGTATGTTTTGTATTTAACATAAATTAAATATGTGAAAGTTAAAAAAACAAAATTGCCCATAAGATACCAGCTCTTTAAGGGAAACTTACAGGTTTTGTAGTATGTTTTGTACCAACTCTTTATGGAAAACATACCAACTCTTTATGGAAAAAATTGAATAAATAGCGCCCAAAGGAAAACTAGTATGTTTTGTATTTAACATAAATTAAATATGTGAAAGTTAAAAAAAAAAAGAAATTACTCATAAGATACCAGCTCTTTATGGGAAATTAGCAGGTTTTGTATTTAATACGCTATTTAACCAATTTTTTATATTTAAACAAATTTACGAAAATTAAAATAACGTATTTGAAAGTTGCATTTTTATTTGGAAGAACGCATTTGTTGAATGTGTTTTTCACCATTGGAGAAGAGACTCAAAAATTACCAGCCTTTAGGAAGTTAGTTTAAAAACTCTTTCTTTTTGGAAATTTACTCCATTAACAAGTCATTTGTGGTTCCTATATTAGATAATGATATGAAATAGATCTCTCCTTACATATATGAACAAAAGAAGGAGACTCAAATCACAAAAGCTAACCATACCAAATACAAGTCAATTGTCTAATCCAGTCGAGAGTGCCACTCAATGTCCACAATCTCCAAAAGACTAATCATATAATCATCTAACAATCACCATAACAAAAAGAAATTGCCATCAAATCATCACTTTCCAGCTAACAATAATTTTACTTCAGCGAGTAGATGGAGGATAAAGGAGGTTAATTACATATTGTCGTTTCATTTCTGCAGGAAGATTGTAGAACACATGAAGCTTGGAAATCTGCTCCGAAAGTATGTTGGCTGCATTCATTACATCTCCACTCGGTAAAGCAAGTTTCATTAACTTAGCAACAACTTGATCTCTTCTATCGGAGATCGATTGCTCACGTTTATCCTCATTTGACATGGCTGCTGCCATAGTTGTGAAATTAGCTTGAATTCCCTGCACGAAATTTCCAAATTTGCTGGTGAGAAGTTGCAATGATGCATCAAGATCACCCCTTGTTGTTGATGCAGATTTCATTTTTTTTGACACATTTGCAATGGGAGGGGATTGTTTCTTTTGTTTCTTGGAATTTCTTGTACTTGTTGAGCTTGGTTGAGTTGATTGCTCTATGGAATTTACTTCATCTTCTTCTACCTTATCATTATCCGAGTTTGACATAGCATCAAGCCCTTCATGTCCTTCCTCCAAATTTTGGACATCTTCCATATCTTGGACAGCTTGTGCAAAATCTTCAGCAACATTTCCAGTGGCTCTGTCTCTTCCATATACAATTTCAAGATCTCCTAAATATGGAAATTTGACATCCCAAAGGCCCTTCGCATCCTTATGAGTCTAGAGATAGAATAGAAAGATAAATGATAATCTTAATAAAAGGTTGAAAAAGAACATATCAGAATGTAAAAAGTAATCAATTTCTTACCTTGCACCAATCATCATACCACTGTTTTTCACAAGAAATCTTTTTCTCAGCATCATTCCAACTACAACCACTTTCTTTGCACATTTCAACAATTGCATGGAACCTATTTTTCAGCCACTTAACTTTTGATTCAATATGTGGGCTGACTTGTTTGGTAAAAGTAGGTTGCTTACGCAAGATAATTTTAAGCAATTCGCTCATATAATTATTTTTAAATCCTCCATCTGATTTCCACATTGGATCACAAGCCAACTCTTGCAATGATTCTATGAGCACTTTTACCTCTTCACCAGTCCAAAAACATTTATTTTTCCCTCTTCCACGTACAATTTCATCATTCTCCATCCTATCATTTAGAAGTCAACCCATATATATCAATTAATTTTGATACACAATAGCATATAACTGAAATTTATAATATAACAAAACACATAAAAGAACATACAATTAAAAGTCAATCCAAATTTAAAAGAACATACATCAAGTGTCAATCTAATTCACAAATCCACTACAAGAGTACATCAAATGTCAATCCAAATTTAATGAGTCTAAGAGCTAAACATCCATTCATAGCTAAATACTAAGTCCAGCCCTCCAATTGTCAAACATTTCATGTGCTAAATTATTTCTAAAATTTGTCCATTGATCACTTGGCAAAATAGTGGATATGCACTCTACTTCTTCATCACTGTCTTCATCTTCACTTTCATTTTCTTCACTTTGTAGTAATTCTTGTGGATCAAAAGTCATGAACTTCCTTATCAAGTTGTGCAGCAGACAACATGCCATAATTATTCGCACTTGTGTTTGAATTGGAAAAAATGAAGGGGATGCTAGAATCTTCCACCTTCCTTTTAGCAATCCAAAACATCTTTCTATGATATTTCTAGCTTTAGAATGTTTCATGTTGAAATATTCCTCTGGTCTTTGTGGTCGATAACCATTGAATTCATTAAGGTGATATCTTTGCCCTCGATAAGGGGCAAGAAATCCATCAGCATTACAATATCCAGCATCCACCAAGTAATAACAACCTTCAAAATTCAATCATGTACAAATTAATACTAGACTACCTTATTTTCGAAAAAAAATTGATTGAATGGTATTGAATACTGCAATATATGTTTACCTTGTGGGACTCTAAGACCATTTGGTCTAGAGATAGCATTTCGAAGCACACGACCATCATGTGCCGAACCTTCCCAACCAGGCAAGACATAGATAAATTGCATATTAGGAGAACAAACCCCTAATACATTCGTTGCAATACTTCCTTTTCTCGTTCGGTATCTTGATTTTTGTTCGGTGGGTGGTGTCACATCTATTAATGTCCCATCTAAGGCACCTAAACAATTCTATTTTAACAAAAATAAAAAATATAAATGAGTTAAAATGTCTATATTGGATAGTTTAGATGAAAACATACATTTTATTAAATGATTGTATTTTAATATTTGAATTACCTTAAAACATTTCCATGTCTCATCTGTGCAATCTTCGGTAATAGGCTCAGGCTTCTTAAGTAATATAGTATGCAATTTCAAAACTGCTAGGAGGCAAAGATTAAATTGACGACTCACCGTTTCTCTACTTCTCCAAAATAGACCACAAATTGTTCTACTTTTCTTGTGGTGAGCCAAAACATATACAAACATGGCAACAATTTCTTCTATTGACATGTTTCTTATAGCTTTCAAACCTCCAGTGTCTCTAATCATTTCACATAATATCCCAAATGTTCGTCTATCCATACGAAGTTCGCTAATACAATAAGCATCACTCTCCCTAGTCAAATTGAATAAGTGTTGCATGCGCTCAGTGACTTTTTCTTCTTTTGATTTTATTTGGCGTCTTCTACTTTTGAGATGTATGAATATTAACTGGTACCACATCATAAACAGTGCAATAACAACCATTATCATTCCTGATAAAATCTGGCTTTGCCCTCGATATTTTTTGCGTCTTCTGTTTTCAATAGGCAAACGTGGCATCTTTGTCTACATAACAATATGACAACCAAACGTAAGTATTCACCAAACTAGATTACGGCATCAAAATCTTCAAATGCATTAAACATCAATTGATCTTATTAAAAGGGCCTAGACATGCATCATACATCCGAAAACACAATGATGTATAGATATAAATAAGCATAAACAAATGAAATTGATGGTTGAAACTTGAAATCCTAATGTACGAATAATTATGAAACTGAAAGCTATTCAAGCAGACAATTTTACAAACAGGTACAGGGCATGTAGAAACCCACCCAAACTATACCAGTATTCACGGATCAAATAACCAAAAGATCAAGAATTGATTGACCTCCATTGAATGCGTAATCCAAGAAAACACATTAAAACCATAAAAATGACAAATCTAGTGACATTAACATTTATCTCACCAAAAAAAAGAACAAAATAATGTATTTGTTGAAGTAAGTGAATTAAAATACATGTATTACAACAAAATACATGGATTAAAAACATGTATTATTCTCACCAATAATAGTGTATTTGTTGCGGAAATAATTTCTTATTGGATTTTGTGACAAAAGAATATGAATTCATGGAAGGAAGACTTTTTGCAAAACTGAGACAGATTGTGTAGCGTGAGTGGAATAAAAGTGAGAAGGTGATGGGTCCAGAGCATAGCATTTTGGTCCAATTAGTGTTATTGTATCAGATTCCCTTCTTTTCTTCTTTATTTTCAGCTACCCAGTGAGTAGCCTGAAAAAACAGAGAAGAAGAAAGAGAAAGCTTGCATACGAAAAGAAAATTGCAGAGGCAAGGGAGTTTGTAATCCACTGACCTGGGATCAAGGAATTCACCCTAGTAGAAGACACTTCAACTCTAGAATTCGTTGTCCAAGGAGAGTCGAAAGCCACTGATCTTTATGGTTGTCCAACCGGTGAAATAGAAAAGGTAGAAAATCTGATGAAGAAGAAGAACAGAAGGTGCGGCGTGTAATGAAGAAAAAAAGAGGGTAGGTTCGTCATAAATATTTTTGCTCGGGAATGAGTTGAGGGTTTTGTCCAAAACCTCCCAATTACTCAGGAATGGTGAAAGTCCGATTTTTTAGAAATGATTCCAGAAATTGCATTCCAATAGACTTAACCCAAGCAACAAATAAGGGGTTCATTCCATTATTTGATTCCCAAACCCTTTAACCAAGCAGCCCCTTGATTGTAATACAATTATTGAGACAAAGAATGCTGAATTTTTTGAACATATTTTTTCACTGTCAAATAAAATTTCTCATGCACTTGTTGAAAAAAATAAGGAGACAACCTCTAATGAGGGGTTGAGAATGAGTAAAAGGCCAAGAAAAGAATTTTTCTATGGGAATGATTTTCAAACCTTTCTTGTTGACAATGATCCTTTAACGTATTTTGATGCAATTTATTCTTCTGATTGCAAGTTTTGGAAAGAAGCAATTAAATCTGAAATTGATTCTATTTTGAAAAATAAAACGTGGATTTTGGTAGACTTACCCCCTGGTGCAAAACCTACCGGTAACAAATGAATTTTTAAAAGAAAATATAATTCTGATGGTTTTATAGAAAAATACAAGACTCGTTTAGTAGCAAAAGATTTTTCTCAGAAACAAAATATTGACTATTTTGACACGTTTGCACCAGTAACAAGAATTTCTTGTATTCGTGTTTTATTTGCCTTAGTTTCTATCAATAAACTTGTTGTTCATCAAATGGATATCAAAACAGCTTTTTTAAATGGCGATTTAGAATAAGAAATTTATATGTTTCAATCTGAAGGATGTATTGTATCTGGACTAGAAAATAAAGTGTGTAAATTAATTAAATCTCTTTATGGCCTAAAAAAAGCTCCTAAATAGTGGCATAAGAAATTTGATCAAGTATTGATAAAAGACGGTTTTCGTCTGTAGAAGTGAATAAATGTGTATATGAATGATCAATATGTGATAATTAGCCTATATGTAGATGACATGCTTATATTTGGTACAAGTGTAGAGATTATTAATAGTACTAAATATTTCTTATCTTCTAATTACTTTTTAGTATTGAATCAATGTTTACGAATCTCATATTTACACTTAAAAATAAAAAATCTTAAAAAGTACTTTAAGAGACGAAGAGAGTGAGGAAAAAAAAATAAAAGATAAAGAGGAGGAAAAAGGAACAGTGATTGTAATTGAATATTTTTTTACCAACAGCTCCTAATTCTTAACAGATTCATAAAAGGGAAATTGGCAACTATTTAACAAAGAGTGGACATTAAAAAAAAAAAAACAAAGACTGAACATCATAGATTCATAGGTTTCAATTTAAATGACCAAAATATCCAAGTGGGATATCTCAATCAACTTCCACCAAAATGAATCCCTCCTCTCTCTGTCACTCTTTCAATTTTCCACCACCATTAACCCCATAACCACTACCCACAACCCGCTACCTTCCTCAACAAAACGCCGATACTACCTTGATGCAAAGCCAGAGGAAGCAGAGATACAGGCCCAATGTTATGATAGGATTCTTGCTATAATTATGTGACGACCAGAGCTAGCAGCCTCAGTGGGGGCGGGCAGCAACGGATGCTCAGATTTGGTACCTCATAATAGATTTTTGCTTGGATGCTTACTACAGCTAGCCGAATAAGGGTGATCTTGCGGAAGAACAAAGGGCAGCCGAACTCCTTTCAAAATGAAGTCGGCCGTCCAAATAATTATAGCAGATAAAAAGGCTGAATTGCAATTCACGTACTGAGTTTGGATTGGGCATATGATGTCCTATTTTTTAAGAATTAAAGTGGGAATTGACCATGATGAATCGAATTCATCCAATCCTTGTTTACTGTTGCCAGTTCATCCTATTAGTTGTTCCTCAGATTGATCAATGAATTCAGAAACTAGCAGCTTCAATCAATGTTCTCCTCCTTGCAAAACATCTTGGTAAAGCCAAAAATGACACGAGCAAACCAAGGTTGGTCAACACAGCATGAAAAAAATTCAGCTCTTGGACGATTAAAATTTCAGCATTCTCACTCTCATAGCTAGGAAGAATTTGGAATTCAAGAAAAAAAAAAGACAGACACTTGAGAATTTTGATATTCTTGACTTGATCCATGACTACGGCCTCGAAGCAATTTCGTCCAGGGGAAAACGGTTGCAACATAATAAGAATGCAACACCGCAAAACTTGAGAATCCTTACCATACGACGGTGCCACCTTAGAGATGATGCCACAATTCTTAACACCTCCTCGCAATGCTTGTCTGCCTTACTGAATATTGCTTGACGCTTAACATCCATCCCACCATTCAATGCTTTCCCATTCTGTGAAAAATATACTAATAGAATGTTGGCAACCTCGTATCAAGTAAAACATCAACTTAGTTAATAGAATGTTGAATATCACAGGAGTCCTTAATTTACTAGCTAGAATACCGTCAGTCCGAACACTTTTATCTTATATATCCTTGTACTTTAGATGTAAGCATAAAAAAGACATTTCATGTTTATACTTTTCCAGTCCTAAATCAGCTAGCACAACCCTCCAAGATAGTCCTCCTGAACAACTATACAAATTATGACAATGAATGAGCAACCTTGTAGAGGAGCCGCTATTCATCTCCAAGGTCATGCAGGAAGCTATTGGTCTTGCCCACAGGCTTATGGCCTATAATTAAGTTAGAGAACCAAGGGAATGACGTAATTCTAGCGAATTTTGAACTTTGTTTCACAGCATATGCATGACAATGGAATACAAAGCCCAAGTCTAACACAAGTTTATGACTTTCCCCTCTGGCAAATACTTGCTGTTCCCAAACTTCCAACTCTTCGAATGAAACCCTTGGAAAACCTTCGCCTGTGTTCAAAGGCCATGCTCTGTCTAGGCTTCAACTAACGGTTTCACGAGTCTAATTTTATGAAGCTCTGAATACAACTAAACTGCAAACACTTGCTACTCTAAATTATGAACTATTTTATCACTACAGACAAGTGCCCAATGCATGGGATTGAATTCAGCAACATGCCAACTTTAGGAAAGATTTTGATGACAATAAATTTATTCTATGATAATTGGACTACTCTACATTTTACGAACTATTTTTGCTTTCAGTGTTCACACTAATCCAGCTTCACAGTTCACGGGACTAAGAAGTGTATGGTAAAGTTTTAAGGTCTATTCTGAATTTTTAACAGAATGTACAGTACCAGTTACGTACAACTAGAGCCTCTTTTTATTTTTTGGAGGACAAAAGGAAAATGAAAATATTACTGGGATGCTACTGGCAGAAAGCCGAAACGTTTGGCTGCCTAATAGACATTAGTTTAGAATTTAATCCTTTTGCTTTTCTTAAGCAACGTAATTTTTGTCTTGGAAAATTTTGATAATAATTGAAAGAATGAATTTTTGTGAGAGGAGTTCAAGCAGCTCCCTGTGCATGTTACCTCCGGGCTCCATCCATCCTTACTCCTTACTAACAATTTATGGAACTCTGCATGACGCCTTGTGTTTGAGCTTCTGCAACTTTAATTTCATCCTTCTTGCGATTCTGCTTGTGAAAGATTGCATCTTGATGGGCCTGTTTTGTCTTAATTGTTGCCTTCAATGCATTTCATCTGTGATCTAGGACATGACCACGTGCGAATTTTCTTTATCATTATATCATACCTTCAATAACTCTCCTCCATTTGTTCACCTAATCTGTGATTCTTGTTGGTTATTAGCTTAACCATATAGGGTCAAGATGGCTAGTGATAATTCAGCCAAAAAAATGTTAAAGGTCTTATTTCTGGTTCGTATGTTACCATAAATCTGTTGATCATCGCCGCATTTATAACTTTTCACGCGAGATAGACAAGATAGAAAATCACAAAAAGTGGAAGAGAAAAAAGTGACTTTTGTTTCTTTTTCTTTAATTTTTTGAGATCCAATTAGTTAAGATGTGTGTTATGTATGGAATGAGGGTTAATATAATTATTTTGTAATTATCAAGGGAGGTAAGTGATATTTTAAAAATTTTAAGGGTGCTAAGTGCTATTAAAAGAAACCTCAGGGGTGGTTTCTGATATTATCCCTTTTTGTAATTACTCTTTTTTAGCAGTAGCAGTCATCAAAACTCTTTTTGTTCTTTGAAAGTATTTTTCTCTAAATTGCCATTGGTTGTGCGTGCATCCCCATGTTTCTCTCTCCCTTCTTTCTAGACAAACTCTTTAACCAAAACTTCATTCAACCCTCCCATGAGCGAGAGATTAGATTTTTCTAACACTTCCCACTGGAGAAGCCCTCTCTATAATTACAACCAAGAATTTCTTCTCTTCTGGTATTGTCTAATGAGAGTTTTCTGCTTTCCTAAACTTTTCAAGTGAGAATTTTCTTCCCTCTTAAGATTCGGAGTGAGCGTTTTAGGTAATTTTTTAATTTTTCTTTTATTGGATCCGAATTTTTTCAAGTTTTGCTTATCGAATCTAGAATTTTTTGAATCCATTCAACATATCTCACCATAGAGTTGAAACAGCTAAACAGTTAATCAACAAATTTGATAATTGAAAACATACACAGATATTCGTGAAATTACAATTATTTTATCTTATTTTTTAAATTTGAAACTTTATAGTGTAATTTTTACGTATTCTTCAGATCTGCAATATCCATTCTTTAGATATTCTCTTTGATATCTGTATATGTTTGATAATGTAACTTCTATCATTAGTGCAAATCTTAATGAAATCATAATGCTTTATCAAAAAAAATTTTATTAAATAACCCAGACAAAAAATTCGATGAAGGGTTATAGCTGTTAATTATAATTCCGGTTGTTATTTTTCCCATTTGAATGGACCAATGAATTGAACAATCAAGTAGCTCTATAACATCTTCAGGAACTGAAAGGATGAATGCTTGGGCAATAAGGGGTATACATAATTATTCAACCATTACTTCTAACATACATGAGAAAATTACAAAAAAAAAAAAAAAAAAGCAACTCTATTGTTAGATGCAAGGAATCCATCCTAGACGGATGACTGAAGCCCAATAATCCCTGCAGAACACAAAATGAGAAATCAAACATTGAGCCACCATATACATGGAGGAAAGAATGGCTGGCTCAAAGACATTGCGGGCTGTGTGTATGTAAGCGTTGGGGAGGACAAGGAGGGAAAGGGGAAGGTGTGGGGGAAGCAAACATCCCTGATATCCAGGTGTAGGGAAGCGAATATTAGCTCTTCAATAATCCATCCCAAAACGCCAATCTTCCACTCTAAATATCATTCAATAGAGTTTGAAAAATTAAATCTTGGAAATGTTCAAAAGGGAAACAAAAAATTGGTGACCTCTCTTCCAGGCATCTTTTCTATTTTCTGAACACAGGGAACTTCCAGCAAGTAACTAGTTACTATACTTTCTTTCTCCTCATTGTAGGCAAAACTTGTTGAGTATCTCATCATCATAGATTGGTGCCCATGCAACAATTGCAATTATTCTGTGCATGTTGTGCGGTAAGTGCTAGGATGGAGAGGGAGATAGAAAGAACTGTTGTGTATTTTAACATAGATTGGTGTCCATCCCACAATTTCCACTATTCTTTGTATGTTCTGTCGGTGACCGCTAGGGGACAGAGATGATAAAAGTAAAAGCTAGTTTTAAATGGTGAAATCATATAAATATATACATGGGTTTCAAACAAAATTATTAGTTTTAAACCCTTATATATATCTATTGAATAACATGCGTAAAACTATGATTAGCATGTTTAGATGAAATCCAATAGAGATAAATTACGTGTTATTTGTACTGTTCAGATAAAATCAAATAGACATATACGTGGGTTTATAGAAAAAAAGCTATTTATACACATGATCAATGAGGAATGAAAAAATTCATTTTGAAAAATGTGAGAGATGGAAAAATTCATTTTTTGAAATGTGAGGAACAAAACAATTCATTTTGTAAAAAGTTAGGGACGAAAAAATTTATTTTGTGAAATGTGAGGGACTATGAATCAGATTATGTAAAAAATTGATTTGACAATTTTGTCATTCAAAAATGATCACATGCAAGTCACGTGGTGAATTCCGGCCAAAAACTAGGCAGAAACCTAGGTAGGGACCAAATTTGGTTAATTTGAATTTGTAAGGGACGTAATTACACTTTTAAAAGTGAGGGACGAAAAAAGTCATCTTATAAAATGTGAGAAACGTTTTGAACGATTTTCTCTATTGAAAATAAGTTAAATTTAATTCAATTACAACAAATAGTGATTGATTTTGCATAATTTAATTAAAAGAAAGTAAAAACATACATAAAATTCAAATGTGTTACGTGAGTGCAAATGTTATGGTTTTTTATTCTGAAAGGTGCTTTTGTAATATAGCCAAAATATAAAGATGGCCAAACTATGATGCATGTAAATAATAATTAGAGTTAATTACCCTTTGCTTAATTACACTTTGCCCTTTTGAACTTGGGTTCTTGTAACACTTTGCCTCCTAAACTCCAAATATACACACTTTACCTCTCGTGATAAAATTTTTGATGGGGTTAAGATGAAACTATATTTTTCATGACCAAAATATCCATGACTAATTCTTAAACGCACATAATAATTGCAATACTATTTCTTTAATAGTTATTAAATGCATTTAAACATAATTACACTATGCATTTCGACCTTTTAGCATTAAAATAAATTAGATAATCCACAAAAAAGAAGTCTAAGCAATTCAATATGTTTATATCAATGCTGATAGCAATACTTATTTTAAATGACATAAAATTAATTAGTGCATTTGGAGTGAAAATTATTTGGTTATATTTTTTTATTGTAGCACTTTTTAATGCATTTTATATGATAAAAAAATATGATTAAAAAATAAAAATGTATTGAAAAACATATTTAGAGAATCTTCATTTTTTTTTGAAAAAAATATATAATTGAAACAAAATACAAACCAAGGTATGAATGCAATGTAAAAATACCAAATAGCATTTATTGACTTATGAAAGTTGTAAGGTAAATAAATATTATCAAAACCAATCCATTCACAATTTAAAGGAAGAAAGATAAGCGATAGAAAACATGTGCAGAAGTTTTAGGAATTTTAAATTCTTTTTTCTCCATAGTACAATACTTTTATCCATTGGTATTGTACCATCGTTTTTTTTTTATTTTTAAAATCATGTGATTTTGTTTTTTTTTCTAATAAGATGTTTTGTATTTCAATTAAATGTATGGCATTATTTTAGAATCATTATGTATGGGTGTTTTGTTATATCCTACCTTCAATGAAAAAAATCTAAGGGTGGTGTCAAAACATCTTTTTGGTCAAGTAAGATCTGTGTACCTACTAGCTCCTAATACAAATCCCTTTAGGTTCTCTCCCTGTAGTTCAGGATAAAATAAGTTATACACTTGTTATTGTCTCCGAAAAAAAAGAAAAAAATTATTGACATGGCAGCTAACGTGACATTACACACATCATTCCTCACAGACAAAATCCTTAGTCTATTATGTCTGTCCACTTTTCTGTCCAATGTAAAACTACTATTCTGTCCAGTGCAAAACTACTAGTAACGCTTTATATTCCACTGCATTCCTCAAGGTACAGTAGCCGTCATTGTTCTTTGAAAGTATTTTTCTCAAAATTGCCTTAGGTTTTGTGTGTGTGTTTATTGTCTTTTTAGTTTCATCCTACTCTTGGGGTCCTTTGGTTTGTATCCTAAAATAAAAATATTTGTAAACTCACCTATAAGGTTTTTTTTTTTTTTTTTTTTGTCAAAAACGATAAGAATATTGTGATACCGATAATCCACATTGCCAAAAAAAAAAAAGTAGAATTCTGATTGGATACCAATCCAATTTTGGCAAAAACTCTTTGGGGGGTTTTGAGGAATCTCTCTGCTGATCACTCAGAGGAATTTTCCCTCCAACCCTTATGTTCGGAGCCCCTCGTGCCTTTGGCCTCATTGTCCAAACCTAGGCTTTGTTGCTCTCTTGGCATTTGGGCTTTGGGGTTGGAGATGGAGGTCATGTGCTCTAGTAGTGTTGGCATGGAAAGCCTTCTGAGCTCAGCAATGGTGGCTTTGTTGGCTGAGATTTCAACTTCGGTTGTAAAGTCTTCGTCCCTGCTTTTAGTGGTAAATTCCAACTCTCTCTCTCTCTCTCTCTGTCTCTCTCACTGTCTATTTTAGTGCAGATTTTTTTCCTTTTCTTTATGTATAAACATATTTTCTTTGTGGGTTCTGTTTGTGGTGCAATTTTCATTGACTTTGTGCAAAGACTGAATTTTTGTATGTAAATTTGTTAAACATGGTTCTGTCTTGATCTATGTGTTGAGTAAAGTTTTAATTTTTGATATTAGTACGATGTTTTTATTCTACCTTTTGTTTCTTACAAGGTGCTAAATGTTTTTATGCGGTTTTGGATAATGCCAGAGTGTTTCAAGCTTCTGAGCAGAAGATTTTGAATGAAAAAATTTGGCCCTTTTTGTAAAGTAAGCTTTTGTAGCATAGATATGTATACTGGGTATTGAGATGTGTATTCTGCTGTTGGTGATGATTTTGTTTTCCTTTTGACTACAAAGTGGAAGTATATGTATTCTGGATTTGGGTTTGGGAACTTGGGTGAAGCGGCACAAATTTTCATCTGTTTGTTCTCTTCTGGGGCTTTTGCATTACTGGTATTGGTCTACTGATACCTTAGTTAAATATTCCCGGAGCTTGCTAATGCAAAATTGTTATTTATTTCCAGTTAATCTTCGTTGTCTTCAAGTTGAAAATAAAATAGTCGCTTTGATATAGGGTAAATACACCATCTGTGGTATCAGTACAAGGTGGATGACACTGGGATTTAATTGGTGCAATTTTGCTGATGTTTCTCTATGCATCTTGATTACTAGCCAATAGACTTTTCTTTCATGACTTTATTCATCAAGGATTTGTATAGCCATAGGCCAGTAGTCTATTTAGGGTGATTGGGGGAAACTGTAAAAAAGTTTGTTAAGAGTTTATATAAAATACTTTTGGGGTCATTGTTTGAATTTTCATGAGTGGGGTGCTCCAGAGGAAGCAAAATGAGAGGACTTCGCATCTGTCTTCCAAACCACTAGGCTTTCTTGCTGAGGAATTTTATAGTAGCTTCACACTCTGCAAGTAATGTATCTTGAAGGTTTATCATAACCTAGTTAATTCTCAGCCTTTAATGAAAAAGACAAAGTATCTTTACCATAATCATGTGAGATGCACAACATTTATGGGTTGCTTAACAGCCTGTCATTCCCTCCACTGTCCTCTGCTCTTCCTCTTGATTTGAGATTTTACCCTGCATATTTCCTGTTAGGAGTTTAGGTCAGAATTTTGTTTGCATTATCAGGGACCTTTTGTATAATTTGGGCACATGAACTTCATGTTCATCATTTAGCTTCATTTTGTAATTTTCCCCATTCAACATTTTTTTTTTGGGAAATGTATGCACTTTATCTCTTTTTGTCTGCTCTATGACATACCTACCATTATCTTCTTTTCTACGTGTCTCAGGACCACTGTCGAACTTTTTTCTTAATCAGATTTTATCTTGTTAAGCTGTAAAAGACCTTGTGTAATTATATTTGGAGGGGATCCAGGACAAATGGAATTACCATCGAGTTCCCTAGGGAGCCAAGGCAAATGGAGAGGTTTCTTTCTCTCGTCTTCTTCTTCCTTACCATCCCAAAGTGAAATTCAGTTATGAGTTTCCATAATTTGTTTGCAGGCTGTCAAAAGCTGATCTGTCCATGGAAAAGCAGCCTGACCCTGAGACCAAGGATGCCAGTGAAACTGAGGATGATGGTGAAGACAATGATGGCGGTGAGGATGAGGAAGACTTTTCTGGTGAAGAGGAGGATGATGAGGATGACAAAGATTCTGAGGATGAGCCGGAGGCCAATGGTGATGGTGGAAGTGGGGATGATGACAATGACGATGAAGATGGAGATGGAGAGGAAGAGGACGATGAGGAAGGAGAAGATTAAGAGACTCCCCAGCCACCTGCTAAAAAGAGGAAATGATCTTGAAGGGCTTGCACTTGTTTTGCCTTTGCTACAATGGCTCCGGAAGCTGGAGCTTAGATTAAGGGTTAGGGTCACAGTTTAGCTGGTGTTGATGCCAGAATATAGGATCCATAATTCATGTTTAAGTCATTAAAGTGGTTGATTAATTCAAGTCCAAAATTCCACCCTCAATACATGTTAACTTTCTCACATTTACTCATTTATTGTTATTTAATTGGACAAATCTGACCTTGCACTTCTCGACTTTGCCTAATGTAATACAACCAATTTGACAATTGCAAATCAATTTGAATTTTGTCACATGACCTTACACTGTTACACACGCTCACATTTACTTTTTTTTTTTTTTTTTTGTAAATGTATGAGGGGGGGTTTTTTTTTTTTTTTTAAACTTTCTTTACATAAATTTTACTCACTAGTATAAGGTCAAATAAATGTAAAATCTTTATTCTCCATAATCAAACGAAAAGTAGGAATTGAGGAAAATTTAACCCATCTTGTTGATCTAACAAGTTCCACTATGGATCATTTTTCTTGCAATTTATTAGATTTAAGTAGTTATTGAATAACATGCACTAGTTGGTGGAAATTTTGATTCTTCATCCTACTAGGAATGTAGGTTTTTTTTTTTAAAATATTATTTGTGTTGCATCGTAAACAAAAATGTCAACCAACTTTTTATATTCTCAACTATTTTTTTTTTATTTCACATACATTATATTACAAAAAAAAAATATTACAGTTGTGTTATTCTAAATAATTTGTCCGAATGATCTCCTACCCAAATACACTCTTATATATTATATCCACAAGCACCAATTAGACAAGTCAAATTCAAAATATATCATTGACCATAATTAATGAGTGTGATAACCGAATTACAAGTAACTCAACCCAAGTTACCAAATTGTGATGACTAATCCCTCCCATATTTGGTTTCCAAATTGACACTTTCCAACCGACCCGTTCGAATTTACCGTTGCAAGTCGGGTCACTCTAGTAAGCCAAAATTAGCCGTTTGCCAGCAATCAGTGGACACTATATATATGCTCGCATCTGTGTTCTTACTTTCCAAAATTTCAAGAGAGATAGAGAGAGCGGGATAGGAGAGGGAGAGGGGGAGGGAAAAATCAGAAAATCGGGGACGCATTTGTTTCTTGAGAAAAGAGTTGCTTTTTTTTTTTGTGGCTTGATTCTGTCCAGAGTTGGCTGTTTTCTGGAGCTGTGAAGAAAGCTTTTTGAGGAGAAACGATTTCAGGCAAGTATTATTTCTCTTCTGCTTTCTATTTTTTGTTTCCTTTCCCTGGAGATTAGATTCTTCAAATTCCGTGCTTTCCTGCTATGCATATTTGCTTTCAATATCCGTTATTTGCCCTCAATTGTGACCTAGTGGCGAATTTTCAGCGAATTTGTCCGATTCATGTCTTCGCTTTTGGTGGGTTTAGACCTAGTTATATTGAATTTTGCTTCCAATTTAGTACTGATGGTGTAGATTGCTTTTTTTTTTTTATTTAAATAAAATTTGTTTGGATAATGCCAGAGTGTTTCAAGCTTCTGATCAGAAGATTTTGTATCAAAAAAACTTTTGTAGTATAGATATGTATGCTGGGTATTGAGATGCGTATTCTGCTGTGGTGATGATTTTGTTTTCCTTTTGACTACAAAAGCCCCAGAAGGTCTAATTTTTACATGTCAAATTGAGATGTGTCTACTTTTTACATGTTAGAAACTGAAGGTCTTAGAGTGTTGATGCAATTTGAAATTTAAAAAAAGAGAAATAAAATGAAATTAGTTAGCAGTTGTTTCAAGCACTTTTGTACCCCTACAAAGTTTTCATATCCATATCGGTAGGCCAAGAATTCACAAAGCGGTATACAAAGGCTGTGAGTTGACCGATGAAGTCCCTCCAATCCTCTAAACACGTATGACCTGAGATTAAAACAACATCAACCTCAAATTTGCATTCTTGATTCTTCAAATTTAAATTTTGGCTCTATTGAAAAGCCCTTCAGTTTTTTACTATCTGTTGCACCTTCTTAAGTGCAAGAGGAGCCAATTATGCATGCCTATCTCCTTTTTTCTGAAAATTGAAATCTAGTGATTTTTAAGGCCCACACTACTACAGGCATCGCCCACTTAATTCCAGTAATTTCATTAGTCTATATCAACAATCTGCAGCCATCTCCCAATTAGATTTCAAATTGTCTAGTGTGATTTTTTGTTGTCTTCGTTGGGTTTCAGCCTTTAATGTTATGTGGCATAATTCGAAAACATGAACTGATCTCATGGACTGATTGTGCACTTTGTTACATATTTTAGTGTCAAAATGACTCAAATCAATACAAGTATTAATCAAAGCATTTAAAGCAGGCTGCATGTAATTGTTTACTAACCATTTTGGCCTCAAATAGTGTAGTTGCTTGACTCAAGACACCTTGTGGTTTAAATGACGTGCCGTTGCCCTATATGGCTTATTTCATCGACTCATATACCTGTCTATTCGATAGGGAATGGGTTCTTTTTTTTGTAAGCCAAAAAGGGATAGATGGTACCATATGGAGTTTTTGAGTCTTTCAAGTACACTATCAATGGCCAGAATTTTTTAGTGAATAATTTCTTTGTTGCCTACATTAAAATCTTTGGCTAATACTTTTAATGATTTTAGACATATTGAGACTGAAATATGAAACGTAACTGCACGATTAGTGCATGTGTTAGTTTATATTTTTGAACTATGCTGCTTATCAGTAGAGATTGAAACCCCATAGAGAGAATAATGAATCACACTAGAAAATTTTAGTTCTGATTTAGAAATGGCTGTAGATTGTTGACAGAGACAAATGAAATTTTTGGAATGAAATGGCTGTTGATTGTTTTTTTAAAAAAAAAAAAAATTTGTTTGAACACTCATAATTGTTGTGTCTATGTTTTATGTTGTGTGTTAGAAACTGAACGTCTTAGTGTGTTCTGTCTACCTCTCTGTTTTGGGACTGGTTTAAGCAAGATTACCATAATCTTTTATGTTGATGCAATTTGAAAGTTAAAAAAGAGAAAATAAAATGAAATTAGTTAGCTACTGTTTCTCCATGGTTGTTTCATAATTGAAGGGTAGTCATATGGGGTTCCGTACAGTGGTTCTTTATTCTCTTATTTGGGTTTTGATATCTCATGGTAAACGGCATAATGCAGAAACGTAAATTTAGCTCGTAGATTGCTTGTTAATGTATTTTTTTCGGTATTTATAATATCAAGACAATTAACAAAAGCCAGTGAAATATGAATTAAGGAATATAGTGTTGGCAACTAGTAAAAGATTGACTAGATTTTATGGCCCCAGACAGTGGAGGTGCTCGAATCACAAAGCTCCGATGGTTTAAATACTATACCATCTGCCCTTCATGGCTTATTTTTATCTACTTGTAAATCTATCCATTTGGTGGGTTAATGGGTACTTTTTTTGGTAAGCTGCAAAGGGGTAGAAGGTATATTTCTAAACCAAAGGGAGCTTTTGAGTCCTGCAACTAGACTATCCAGGGCCGAAAAGTTAACTTAATACTTACTTTTAACACTTTTAATGCTTACTTTTAACACTTTGATTTAGTTTTACTAACGCTAATCATTTTTAGATTGAAGTATGAAGAACTTTAGATTTTCTGTTGCATGGTCTGTTCTCACTGTTGAATTGTACAATTTGTCTTTTCTTGCTTTATTTTTGCATCAGCTGTCTTTTGTTATGCTTAGTACACTTACTGAAAGACATGAAGCTTGATTACAATAGTGCTGCCCAGGCATGTTCTGTAGTAATTTGTCTTGTGAATGATGATATTCCTTTGTCATATTGCATTTGATATTAACTGATCTTGGTGATTATAAGGGGATTCTAGGAAAAAAAAAAAGAAAAAAGATTTGTTATAGTAGCTAAAGACTTAGAATGGATTGCTAACAATTTCTTTAGTTGTTAACTGGCAACAAAACTGTTGCTGTCTTTCATTTAGGCTTTTAACTTTTCCTTGTGACAATACGCATGAGCCACTTTTGGTTTCACTGTATACCATCTGCCCAATTGTTGGGTAAAAAGTATATGTTTGCCAGTCAACAGTATCTCTACTTGTTTCTATCTTCCCTCTTTTGTCATTGAGGAACTCCTGAATGAAAATCCTACTGCCACTGCCATTCTTATATGAATAGGCCTCTCTTTTCCCTCCAGGTTTCCTTTCAGATGATTCAACAGATTCTAGCTTTGTTACTGATTTCTCCATTTGCTTCTCCTTTTTCCTTGCAAGAAATTATTTTAACAAACTTGTTTCCTTCCCTTTTCCTTTTCTTTTATCTTTTTTTTTTTTTTGGAATCCTTGCTTTCTTCACTGTTATTCTTTCAATTCTGTTCATCTGATGCCTGTTTGTTCTTCATACTTCAATATGAGTTAATCTGGGTATATCCTCTTGCTGAAAAATGTAATTTCATAGTATAGTTGTATATGCATGGTTGTCTTGTACTTCAAGGTAGGAGTTGGACTTCTTACGGTTTTGTTTTTTGTCCTGCTTTTCCTTCTTGTATTTGATTGTCCATGCTCAATAAATACATGTTGGAAACTGAAATAGAACGATATTCTCCTTGGAGGACTTGATTTTTGAACTCTTCTAGTAGGTTTAGAATTTATTTTACCCATTTTTCCTAAATATCCATATATCTTTCTGGTTATTGTGAAATCATTTTAAGAAGAAAAAAAAAAAGAAACTTCCAGATCTCTTAAAATGGACATACATGATTTATTATTCATTTATGGGCAAATAGGATGAATAGTCATTACTGTTAAACTTCTGCAATTTCGACTTTCAAATACCTGCACGATCTGTTCTCTCCTATAGGAGTCCTTATTTTTTATCCTTTACAACTCGCAATCAGAAGATAAATTAGAGGTAAAAAAGTGTCATGATATAACTGATGCTTCGATATGACTTAGCAAATTCAAAAAATACATTGGAGGCAAAAAATTAATTTGATATAACTGATGCTTCGATATGACTCAGCGATTCTCTATGCTGTTCATTTGGACTATTTGACATTGTTGTGCTTTCTTTGACATAGCTTCTGAAAGTCATATCTCAGGGAAGAACTTTCAGCTTCCTGACAGCCCAGAAGGATGGGCCTTTCTGTCCATCATGACTTGTCTTCTACTCTGATTTTCGTCTTCAATTTTCTTCAAATTTTTTCATGGACTA